GTAACCTAGAACTGTTTGGGGTGGGTGTTTGAAGGGAATTCATATCAATCCCACTCATTCAGGAGTCCCAAGGACGAAGTGCCAGCTCCTCTGGGGAAGAATGGGGGCTCGCGCACGCGGGGAGCTTATTTGACTCACCAAGTGTGCTTGCTTGCTGTCTAAGCGTCAGGCCAAGGGCTTCCTAATTTGATGCGTGTCGGGGAAAACCCTCACTTCCTGCCCCCCAGACCCTCCACTTCTCAGGCTGCACTGCCCTCCCCCTGGGATTCCTTAGACTGATGGGCCCATTGTGTTTATATGGCCACATGCAAAGGTCGCAGATCGTGCATGGCTTAATGACTTTGGGCAGAAGTCTCTCACACAGAAATTGAGACCCCGAAATTATCCACCTGTGGGAGAAGAGGGTTAGCCGAAGTGAGGGTCTCCTCACATTGGAGGCTCAGTGGAAAGGCTGCACCCTGGCGACCGCGCCAGGATCACCCCCACCTTGAGGACTGAACCATCACTGAGCCCTCACCTGACCCACATGAACCAGTGAGCTGTGCCTGGGCGCATGTGTGTGTGCACTGTGAAAGCGGTGTCCGTGCTCAGTGAGGGGCCCTTCTGCTCAGTTGTGTCCAGCTCCCAGTACTGGGCTAGGGCTGTTGCCTTGGGCAGCTTGGCGTATCCTTCCCTTCAGGAGGCATCATTTGTGTCTGAAATTTGGGCCCAGATAGGGCAAGTACCTCCTATTGCCTGTGTGGAAGAATAAACGGTAATGTGTTGGTCTGGGTAGACTAGAGAAACAGATTTATAAACACACACATGTGTATGAGAAAGAGCTTTATATTTAAGAGCGATTGAATATTGAGAAAACATCCCAGCCCAGATCAAGTCTCTAAGTCCAATATTAGCCCAGATGGCTGATACCAATCTATAAAGTCCTCTTCATACTCATGAAATACATGCAATGATGCCGAATGCAGGAGGATCACAGGCCAGTGGGTTAGAAGTCTTGTGGATCCAGTGGCATTGTAAGCGCTGGCAGGGGTCTCTATGTGGTGGCTTCTCCAGCTCCAGAGGTCTAGTTGCATCAGGGTGTGAGCAGAGAGAGAGTGCCCCCTCCCCCCAACCTCCAAGGAGGAAATACCAGCATTCCAAAAATCCTTAGGGGAAAGACGCCCACATAGAAGCCTCATTGGCTATGACCTGATTGACAAGAGTAGACTCCACCCCTTCACTCTTAATCCTTTAAAGTCCCAAATTGACATCAGATTATGTAACTACCACAGGTAATGACGATCATTTGACTACTACTGGGAGGGTAAACTGGTATGAAAAAGAGAAAAAAAATTGTATCTCTATAGAAGGACAGCTTTGTTTAAGATGCAAATATTTAGTTACCAGTGGTGAGGGCAGAAGAGTAGAGACTCTTTGATCCACATTGAATATTTGCTCAACAACAACTGTGAACTATGTTGACAAGTTTGTGTACAGGCATCTATCTTTTTCACTCTTAAGGAAATGGAGAATTAATAAGGGATTTTGTTTGCGTTCAGGAAATGTTTGTGTACAGCATATGCCAGCTGGCATGGGGCTTATGGATAAAATGCCTGAGTGGTAACCAGCTGAAGGGTCTCCTGTTCTCCAGCGGCCTGGCCACCTGCCTTGATGCAGGAGCACCACCCTAGGCCTTGTGCTCTGAGGGAGGGAGGGAGGTGGGGAGGGTGAGAGAG